CTGGAGGATTTCCTGAAGCACCTCAAGGGTGACCTGGGCAGGAAGTATCAGCTCAGTAATGCTGTGGCTTATGAACCGCTAACAAACTACCTGGATGTAAGTGCCAGAGCTCCCTTCCTTCCCTGGCTTCAGCATTTTGTGGATCCTTCCATCCTTCCTTGCTTCCTAAACCAGCCTCTCGGCCAGCTTTGCAAGCCTCACGGGAGTTTCTCCCTCTCCTTGGCTGCCAGTCAATAGGATGCTGTTGAAAAGGGGTATTAATTTTGCAGTCCTTTATATCCTGGCTTCAAGGTCTGGATGATTTTGGATGATCAGAAGGCATAAAGTAAGCAAGTTATTATCCTGATTTTGTTTGTCTTTTCAGAAAAAGCTGAGTTTGGTGGTTATAGGACGAATCTGAGTGCCACAGACTCGGGGTACTCTTCCTGGCGTTGCTACTGACTTTTTAATTAACTGTAGGCATGTCATGGCACTTTGCTGTGCTTTAGCTGCATCCCTAGGATGCCTGCAGGGATTAAGAGCACTTCTACAGCACCTTAGATGTTTAGCTTTCTCAGCTAGCAGAGGGTAGAGAGCTGAAAAACCTCATTTAGAAAACCAGCCCAAACAGACACCTGCCCTTGCTCTCATCCACAGTCCTTCTACTTTGGGGAGATCAGCATTGGGACCCCTCCGCAGAGCTTCCGGGTGCTCTTTGACACTGGCTCCGCCGACCTCTGGGTGCCGTCCACGTACTGCCAGATGCCGGCCTGCGGTGAGCATCCCTGCCAGGGGGGTGCAACTTCTCACCAGCACAGATGACCACCTGGGCTGTTTTGGGTCAACTCCCTTTCCCAGGAAGCCCCTCGCTGCCAGTTTCCGCCCACATGCAGAAAGAGATGCTGCACCACGAGTCATTGACCTGACCTGGGTGCTGTCACTTTCTCTCCATGCAGTCGCCCACGCCAGGTTTGACCCCAGCCAGTCACTGACCTTCTCCAACATTGGTGCCACCTACACCCTGACCTATGGTTTTGGTGACCTGTCCGTGGTGTTGGGTTACGACACCGTGACAGTAAGTGACTTTTGATGTGTCGTCACAGGAAACAGGTTACTGCAATTAGGGTAAGAACTGATTGTTGCTGCAAGTTTGTCTGCAATTAAGTTAAGAAATTAGGGAGGGGGGACTACTCAAATTACCTTATTTTACATATTAGTGCCTGAATATTCCAGGTGGAGTTTATGGCATGGCAGCATGCTATGCCTGTGGTCAGGAAAAGCTCAGGATTATCAGTGCAGTATCAACTTCCTGGCCACTCCTGCTGTTCCCAGCACCCCTCTGGGATAGTGTTATCAAGGTCAGTCCAAAATGCCAACACCTCCCTGCTTGTTTCCATCGCCTCTAGATCCAGAACATTGTTGTCACGAACCAGGAGTTTGGTCTGAGCCAGGATGAGCCCAGCAGACCCTGTTACTACCTGGACTTTGACGGGATTTTGGGCATGGCTTACCCAGGTGTTGCGATCAGTGGTTACAACACCCTGATGCAGAACATGCTGCAGCAGAATCAGCTTTCTGAACCTATCTTCAGTTTCTATTACTCCCGGTGAGATCTTTGACTCTCTCACATAGACAGAGGCCTGTATCCATCCTTTTATTCATTCACTTTCTGTCTACACATTGTTCCCACACACCTGCATGTTACACTGCTTTCTGCTTAGTAGCCTGCCTGGTCTCTGATTTAACTTTGTGTCTTTCCAGTAACCCGACCTATAATTACGGAGGGGAGGTCATCCTCGGAGGCATTGACACCCAGCTGTACTCAGGGGAGGTTTTATGGGCACCGGTGGTCCAGGAAGCTTACTGGAAGATCGGTATTGAGGAGTAAGTGCAACACCAGCTCCCCAGAGGTGGCCCTGGAGCACGGGTTAGTCTTTTCTGATGCCTTGTCTGCTGGTCTCTAGGTTCTCCATCGGGCAGTCAACCACGGGCTGGTGCAGCCAGGGCTGTCACGGCATCGTGGACACCGGGACGTTCCAGCTCACCGTCCCAGCACAATACATGCCAGCTTTCCTGCGGGCTCTGGGTGCACAGGAGAGTAACTATGGGGTAGGTGGGAAGCATACGCTGCGTACATGAAGGATTTGCAGGGGCTGATGCCACAGGACGAGGGCACAACGAGATGGTAACGCCAAGCTTTGTGGGTTCGGATGGAGGTTTCCGATGGAGGTGAAGGTTTGACCTAATCCCTTTCCCCCTCTTCTCTTCTTTTGCAGTTTGTCGTTGACTGCAACAACATCCAGAACATGCCCACCCTCTACTTTGCCATCAGTGGAGCCCAGTTACCGCTGCCTCCATCTGTCTACGTATTAAATGTAGGTATTGTTTCTGCTATTCATGGCCAGCGTTTGCCACCATAGGGCAGTTTGGCCCGGGAGAAAGTCAGAATTTCTTCGCAAACGTGGAGGCTTCTTCCCCAGCTCCCTGTGAGTGTTGCATTTCCCGGAGAGCCAGGTCACGGTGCATTCACGTACTTTGCACATGACTGCAAGGGGGGTCTAATCCTGCTCCTAGCCAAAGCAACTGTGAAGCTCCTGCTGATTCTTCAAGGTGCAGGCAATACCCCATGCTCCTCACTGGCACTGAAATAGTCTTTGCTCCTTTCCCACTGACAGAACAACGGCATCTGCACCATTGGGGTTGAGAGCACTTACGTGTCTTCCGACAGTGGCCAACCGCTCTGGATCCTCGGCAACGTCTTCCTCCGGCAGTATTATTCCATCTTTGACATGGCCAACAACAGAGTTGGCTTTGCCCTATCAGCCTAGGGGTGCCAAGTGTCGCCCGCACAGAAAGCCTTCCCTCCTCCCGGCAACTGCTCCTTCTTCCTGGTCTCTGAGGAATCCTGTTTAATTTGAATGGAGAGGTTGCGGCTCTCCAGTGCATGTGAGACACAACCTTATCCTCCTTTGGACCGGTGTATAATACTCAGTAGTCTCCAGATCATCTGTAGTGAATAAAGGGCTGTGACTCTAGCTGCCTTTTGTCTTGTTTGGAAGCAGCTGAGCGAAGATCTGGCATGGCTATTCTTAATAAAAATACAACTAAGTTTGACTTCATACTTGTGGAGGCTTCCAGGCACTTTCTGGTCTGGAGCCCAGTGAAATCTGTCTCCAGTGTTAGCAAGCAACAACTTGCTCATGTCATGGCACTGGGACAACTCTGCTCTGTTAAATGCTGTCTTCACTGGGTGTCCAGAAGAGTCCCTGTGTATATTTTTAAAAGCTCTGAGATGCCTCTTAAATCTTAACTTGCACTGCAGACACCACATCCAAGCCTGATGCAGAGCCAGCAGATGTGAGTGGAGTCTCCAAGCCCTCCTCGCTGCTGGTCCCAGGGAAGCAAATTGCGCAGGAGTCGGCTCTTGGATCTTTGCACATGTGTGAGATAGGGGAAGGGGCACCTCTGTGAGTGGAGAAAGTCAGGACATGTTCCCTGGGTGACCTGGGAAGTGTCCTGGAGCGGTGGCCTGGGTCTGCTGCATGCCCTTCCTTCGTGCCAAGGTGCTGGTGTGCTGCACAGGGTCCCACGCTGGCTTCAGGTTCTCTTATTCGCTCCGGTTCAGTGTGACAGGGATAATGCTGCCCGACCTGAGGGGCTGAACTGAATTAATGTTTGCAAAGACCATCTGCATTGAGACTAGGACGTTGAAAAAAATGACAAGTTTTAGCTCCTCAGAGCAAGAGGTTTCCTACTGAGTCCTGTTTCCCAGGCTGTGCACATGCATGCACACATGTGTGAAAAGCTAGAGGCCAACTGAATACTGGACAAGCTGCAACCTCGATAAATCTTTACTGAATTAGAAGTGAACCTGAACTGGAATAAACAGTTCTAGGGCAGCCAAACCTCAGGACGTGCCTCCTCCTCCGTCCCCGTGTGCTCGCTGGTTGCTGCAGACGCGCTGGGCCAGCGCTCGCAGAGGCAAAGGAGGCAGACGGCGGTGGTAAGCGCTTTCAGATGTGCACGGAGCCTTTGAATTTGCAGTGATGACAAATTTGGGGTCGCCTTTTTGATTTGGAACCAGAGCTCTGCTGGGCCTGGCAGGCTGGCTGGAAAACTGAGACGACTTGGAGCAACTCAGGCAGAGCTGTTTATTTAACCGTGTCTAGGGGACCCCAGGGCTGAGCCTGTGCCTTTGCTGCAGGCCTCGGAAACCTGTTTGGAGCAGGATGCATACGGATAATGAGCTGCCTGTGAACAGTTCTAGATTCATTAGGTTTGGGGGAATTGTTTGCATATATTTGCAAATAAATTAGGGATTCAAAAGTAACGTGGAAAGATACTCAGTAGGAACTAAGGAATGTGTCTGCGTTCTGCAGACTGAGGAAAACGCCTCGTTTATATTCTCTAGGGGTAAATCTTTCTCTTGCTCACTGTAGCCCTGAAGGACAAGAGATCAGAAGGAGAGGGGCGGCGTGCTTTGGACCCGGACGTGAACTTCTCCAGAGCCCGGGCGTGCTTGGATCTCCCCCAGCAGGACTTGGCTGTCTGATCGGTGGCCGGAGCTGGAGGATCGGGCCGGCGCCGCGTGCGCTGCGCTGTGCTCACCGCCATGCTTCCATCTAGCGGCGGCCGTGCCGGAGCCTGGTGCCCACCGGAGCAGCTCTCGCCGGTGCCCAGAGCTGCTCGGAGAGGCCTGACCCCGCACGCGTGGGGATGCCCCGTCACCCTTGGCCTGATGCCCGTCTCCCTGTCAGATGACAGTCACCCCACTGCAGCATGTGACCGGCCTGTTAAATCTGCTGTTTCCAGACAAATCCGGGCTCCGGAGAGGGGGAACTCCCTGCTGCTGCTCCTTGCTGGCAGGGTGCCTGGGAGGGGAGACCCTGTCCTGCCCCCTCCTGCAGCCCCAGGGCCAGTTCACCTAGCGCCCTGCAGGCGCCGGGCTGGAGGACGGGCTTTCTGCTCCCAGCTGGGCAAGGTCCCAAAACTGCTGCCTTGAACTGTGGGCTTCATGCCCCCAAGAGTTCATCTTGCACAAAAATCCAGGGAGAGCTGAGCATGCTCCACACTCTCCAAAACTTCCCTGGCAGCTACCCATCCTGCTTGGGACATCTGGCCCGGTGGGTGCCACGTGGAGGGCTGCCATGTACCCTGGGTGCCCTGAGCTGGGCTGTGCTGTGTGGGACACGTTGCTGTTTCTCCTGGCCCCCCTTCATTTCTCCAGAGTGCCGCTAGCCCTCCGCAGCTGCAGCAAGCCTTCAGCATCAGTGCGAAGGGGCTGCACCACCCTGGGGCTGGGGGCTGCACCAGCCCAGCACAGGGGGCTGCACCCCCCATGCGTTGGGGTTGCACCACCGTGGTGTGGGGGCT